TATATATATAATAAACAGGCTCCCTAGAACTTGACGGCTGTAGACAACTTTCACACTAACTGACGGCTAATTATTCAGAGAGAAGTTAAAAGCCGGAAAATTGTGATCAAGTTATCATACTGCAGCTGAACACTACCGAACGCGGTGGCACTTTTTGCACGCCGATACTTGTCAAATGACTCTAGAGTATTCACTTACTTCCGCTCTTATCTATTGTCCACGCCTGCTCAATATCTCAAATTCTATGTATTAAACACAGTCTGACTTGGCGTGGACTAAACCAGTTTAATCAATCGTAAAACTAGTGGCTGGAATGTGGCGTGATGGATATCCACCCCCAAAAGTCGTCTGTTTAGTTATTCAAGTTGCCGGTGTTTAATGTCTATTTTTACTGTCATTTCGCGGGTCCCAGCATTCATCGGTTTCGAGACGAATGAAAGACGTCTGGAAGCCTGCGTATATCTCTTGAACGCAATGTCTTCCGAGTGCTGTGCTCTAAATAACCACCTGTCTTTTGAAACATCCATTAGATGCACCGGCGTGCATCTATGTGCAGGAATCTACGTACATACAAACGCCATCTTTCTTCCTTCTGCTGACTTAGCCACAGAGCAATTATCCCGTGAAGCCAATATGTCTATTATTCGTCTGTAACTGTGACGGCTTGTTGTCCACCTGTTTTCTCACGCCTTTTCTTTGCTTCCTCAGTTTGTACACTAATATCTGTTTCCTGAATGCCACTCAAATTCGCTGATAAATAGATTGCGTTTGACAGAAAAGGCAATATGAGAGAATCTTATGTCTCCAGTCTTGTATGTTTTCGCTCTGTTGGGGGCTAATTGCATGAGCCTTGTTTTGGAACTGCGATCATTATATTGTCCTGACACCGCTTTGGACATAGAATTTATGATCATCAAATTAGTGCACAAGTGGGCTTCAACGTAAACCTCAGTTCACCAGGGACAGCGAACGCTGTATCAAACGGTGCAAGATGCTGTAAACTTATTCATCGCACGGTAGTTTTGCTCTTTTTTCAAGATAATACAGGAACTCCCTACTAGAAAAACTAATTGTGGAGTTGGGATACAAATGCTTTGATACGCGAGTGAATTATTTTCGGCAGGAATCTCGACTAGGACTTCAACGCGAAAATGAGTACTCTTGGATCAGTCTCATTCGTAAGGATTTTGAATCGGACGTTCGTAGGATTACTGCCGTTTACCTCCACAAATGTGAGCCCATGCACAGTAAGGACCATCATTGTTCTACTGCTCTAGTATTAGGAAACAAACACCGGGAATTTCGCTGATCCCGAACGTGGAGAAGGGGGCTCAAACATACAAATTTGAAAGCACAGTAGAAATAAAGGATCAATGTTTGAATACAGCTCATTGGAAGTAATCTTTAAAGAAGATTGAATCATCCATGATCTTAAATCCACGGTTCTACATGAAGACACATCAACGAGTCGTGTAAAAGCGATGTTGGATCACACGAATTATGTCACCAATGGTAGTTATAATTAGTTCGTAGTAGAAAAATGCCAGAATCGCCCATGTGATACATAATAACAGGCCAATGATGCACGCTGTAATGACTAGATGCCGGGCCACGTCACTTTTACGTTGGTATCGGTCCATATCGGCTGCACGATAGTCGGTGTAAGAGCATAATGAGTAGACCAATGCCGGTAAAGAACACCACAAGGTGATGGGACAACAGAAGATGGCAAAGAGGCTACAGACAGCAGGACAGCTATCGAAAGACTGGGTAGGTTTCGGAAGACCTCGGATTACAGTCTTATGGCCTTGTTCTGATATCATTGCGTTTTCGCTTGTCAGCAAAACAGGCTTGGGATGAAATTCATGATTTTGCGGCTGCGACTGATAGTGCACATATTGTTGTTGTTGTTGTTGCGAATGGGAGGGAAAGGCTTGATTCAGTGAGGAGTTGGGAAACGCAGAACATCCTATTGACGGTGAAGTCATAGAATAAGGAAACATTGGAGGTAAAGGGGCATAGCCTATTTGTCCACCATGATCTGCCATTGAGTCTTCCGTTGGCGAGATTGCTTCGCACGGAGTCTGGAGGCCAACCAAACTTCCCTGGGCATCATAGATGGGAGTGGTGTTGAACGCAGCACCCGGAACAACGCGGCTGGAAACGGCTTCACCTTGAGCTGGAGAAGGGCGAGTGTTTGTGTCACCAGACTGCTTAGAGTAGAGCTGCTTTTGGTTCTGTGAGACCTGCAGAAGTGGATCAACCTCCGATTGCTTCAGAGAATTTGGTGAAGATGCTGAAGGATCTTGTTGATTTGTGTAGGTAATCTGCATCGTAATTTAGTCTTTCTGCTTTCTCTGTAGCGTTTTGCTTAAGAGAAAAGTGTACAACATGGGGTTATCCAATATCAGAGAAGTGCAATTTGCAACATTATCCACAAAATGTAGCAACGTGCCTTCTCTCTAACAGTATGAAAGCTTAGTTAGGTATTTGGAATAATTTCCGATACACTGAGATTCTCTCTTTCACTTGGGTATCACGTGCTAAATTACTTCCACTAGGGCTTCATTTTGCTCTGATTTCCTATACGTAGGCATTACGTGAAACTAAGTGGTGCTATGGACGCCAATAAATTCCTTCAGGATAAAGGTTACTCTCATTTAGGGCAAACGTGAAACGAGTCTTTGATGGCTGCACAAACATGAACATATATGTTAGAGCGCTCCACAATATTACGGAAAATTCCTGAACACGCATGAGCCGCTTTGCAAACACCAAAAACGTTTCTTCTTTCTCCTGGCATTAGTTTCACAGTTTTATCTCCAGCCCACTGATTAGTGACGAGACTTACAATTAAATTTAGACCACGTAGTCAACATATCCCTCCACGTAATTAAAGACTGGCCTCAGCTGAGGTCTCAAATGGGTGGTACGCCTCATTTTACTAGTTTCATCAAGGGGATAAGATAGCAAGCGGTCTTTCCCTAGATGATGATAGCGGGGGGTTGATCCAAACGCCCTTTACAGGTCCTTTTGTTTTGTGCGCGTCGTTGTTGCACCTTCAGTTGTGATTATTGCCGCATGGAGAGCAAACAAGGCTAAATTGAACGATGGCTGAGAGCAGGAATTTGACTCAATTTTACATCGCATTCATTACCAAAGCAAGACAGTGTCAGGTAGTGTTCATCACAATTACTGTTTCGGATCTAACCAAAGTAAACTTTCCAACAACCTCATTCTAATCTGTCCTTTACCCTTTCCTGCAGATAATTATGTAGTGTAAATTTTCCAGTTTAGTCAAACTAAGCGCCTGATTTTACATGTTTGCTCTGTGTGAGAATGCAAACGGGCTAATGTACTCAATTTTCGAAAAGAAAGGGGATAAAGCAACAGTCAGTAATACCCTCTGCCTCATAGGGTTTCAATCAAATTCTTCATTAGATTTGGGGACACTCCTCCACAATCAAGGCAAAAAAGTCCCTCAAACCTGAGACGTATCTATGATTTTTCTAGTCGTTTTCGCTACGGAAGAATTCAAGCCGCCAAGAGGTTTACTTAGCGTGCTATTTTCGCAAACAATATGTGGATATTCCAGCATGTGAGCATAAGCAGTACTTTCGTATCACTTTTTTTTATCTCAGACGGGTAATGTTAGGGAATCCATCGAAGCTCGTTTTGATCGTCAAGCCTTGGCTGTGCTACCAACCGATAGAACCGACGCTCCAGTTGTCGGTATTTCTTTTAAGCCTTCTTCTAATTGCTCTTCTAAGGCAAAACCAGCTGTGCAAAGAAAATACTTTCCTATCAGTCAATTTTACCCTTTCAGATAAAACACGTGAAAGTACGTAGTCTATCACATCGGCATAACTTGGGCCAGTGCGGAACAAAATATTATTGACGGCTGCATTTTAGTCCTGAACGTCGACCATATTCCATATGGTTACAGATTATATGGAGTGAAAGCTTCGCAGTAAATAGTGCACATCTGATAGTTTCCATAAATGGCTATGGGACCTCGTCGAAGCAGTTCTGGAGACATTTAGCATACGGCCCTGTAAACAAGGGCCCAGGCAGTTTACGTTTGGGAAATGATCACTCTGGATGAGATTATTTGGGGTGGGGTGAGCCGCTGTGTCATATGATCGCGTGCTACAAATAAAGAGATGACTGGTGTTTCTTTCGATAAAAGTGTTAAACTCTCTCGCAATTACGAGCATAAGTTATTGGAAGCAACATTTATAAAGAACGCATGTTGTACTAGGTTTGAAATCATATATGACTGAACGACTTAGTAGACAGTATAACTACTTGCAAGGTGCTTTGAAAACAATGACTGTTTCTAACATATGAGGCAAATTTGCCGTAATCACATGGAAAGCCTTATAAAAAACACCTTACAACTAGTGAAAACTGGACCTATTATCACACATCGTTTTCTGCAGAGTTGATTCTGTTTTTAATATACAAATGGTGGGAATGGTTAATTGTTCTTCATTCAATGTCACACTCACAAATATTCGCCGGATTCCAGGAAATCCTTTCATACGTAAGGAGCATATTGTAGGAAATGTCCCAATATAGACTCGAAATTTTGACACACGGAGGCAAGCAAAGTCTCGCAGTAAATGTGTTAGTTCTAACTCGACTGAAGTTACCCTTCCAGCAACTAGTATACGTGAGCTTGACCTAGGGAAGTAAAAGTTAGGGCGTAAGAAGCTTACCTTTACTTAGTGCTGGGAAACCGGTAAGTAATCAGTCATTTAAGTTAAGAACTGATGCATTGTCTGTCCAGTGGCCTCAACCAATCTTTAATCGGGCACCAATTTTCGCCTGACCTCATTTCTGTTTTGAACGAATAATTCTAGATAATAAGGCAACTACCCAAAACCAATGAACGGAGAGGTCACCAGTACCTACTTTACGAATTCAGTCACGGAGAAGAATAGATAGGTTTCTACAATAGTGTCTACAGTGAGTTCCAGGAGATGCCGCTGAAGTGGCCTCTATAAAATCGGCTTAGGTTAGGTTTCTTATCTCCCTCTCCATCTATAACTGAATCACAAAATATCCTAAAGGCACAACGCAGGAAAGCATTTCGTAAGTTTCCTCTGCAATTCAAATTTAATGAACATACAACAGAGCCAAAATGTCCGTTTTTTCACCAAAAAATCCAAGTTCTTTGGAAAAAAAATTATGTTTAGAGTATAGCTAAGTACGTGGGAAACAATCTGGCAACCACGACCACTGTACTGACCAATCGTCGTTTAGGGTTGACGACGTTGTTTAAGCTGATTATCAGGCCAAATCAGGGTCCCATAAGCTAATGTGGCAGTTAATATGCCGGCATACACGTTTTAAACCTAAGAACGGTTTTCATTTTAGCATCACACCCCGGGTAAGGATTCAATTTCTCAGTTTCCTAGTGAAATGGTAGAGACAGAGTAGGGCAGGCTTGTTCATTCTGGACTTTACGAAAGTAGCCAGATGGCTGACTGAAACAACATGATTTGACCACATAACAAATCCTTATTTTACTGCATAAACGGCCAAGAGAGCAACTGGCTGGACTGTGAACTTCTACCTAGTTTACGGTAAAGCCTGAGTGTGTCGCAGCACGTAACAGTTTTTGGCCTCACCAATTGACTGTTTGTCAGACTTGCTTCCATTCTACATGATGCGACAACCAAGACAGAATTGCTGTGTTTTTCTGTGGAATCATATTGACAAGATCTTTAGACGTGTTTGGAAATGATGCGTGTGTAGTTTGTTCAATTCTGCAAAAGCTACAGCGGAAATACGGATAACTGTTACACGTACATACAGGCAACGTCCAACCGGTTATTTTTACAGTAGCGTCAATTATACCGATAAGCGCCAGATTTGTCCACTCATCCGTTATAATTGACAGACAACATGGGGTCATTGGTGGATAGCAAGAAAAATCAAACGGGAATTGTCACTTTAGTGGAAACAGTTGTAGGTGATTCAAAAAGATATATTGCGCTAGTTAGAGTGTTGAAAACTTGGATACTTAGTCTATCCAACAAACTAGTGAGATAATCGTATAACAGAAATCGCGTCGTCGCTTGACACTCGCTGATTTCAATCATTCAGCCAGGCTTCTGGAACCTCCGATATGTGGTTAGGGTTTGCCTGATCCATAGATGCAAACTCTCACTGTGGGTGCGACATGCCAAACATGATTACCCATCCAGACTCGAGATCCAGCAGATTAGGCATTGGTCAAGATGACTGTGAAACCGAAACGGAAATACTCTACCGGCTGAACATTTTGTAGCCCTACCTTTGAAATTGAAATAGTTGACCTTCAACTTTCTGCACAAAATTAGTCCTCGTATACACTGTAAACGTCAATGCCCACCATACATCACCTACAGCCGTTTCTGAAATATCCCTGTCGTGAACATCTAAGCAAACGCGGGAGACTCAAAAACTTTTTGAATAGAAACCTGCCGTTCCATACACCAAGAATTCCGGGGTTCCGGTTCGTATTGAACATTAATCAGTCCAAGGGGAAGCTGATCAATCCCACAGCAGCCAAAAAGACACCGGCCTGATAGATGATAGGAGAGGGAAGTTTGAGTTTTTTTCCGCTGGGACAAACGATCGAAGAAGAGTGAGTTTTATCTGAGACAACGCCACTCAGGTCAATTACAAAAGCCCTCAAAACTACACTAGCTGGGCTGTTTGGCACGTTTCTTCCTATTTCTCCAAAGTCGACTGACGTTGTAGACAGTTCTCATGCAATATCCGCCTAAAACTCTTTGACAAAAGTGTGAATTTCGCAAAACAGTGAACTTGGAACCGCTTACTGTTATGTACGCAGGCAAGTTGCCATTGTGAACTAATCAAGGTACTGTGCAGGCTGATCGACCACCCCAAACAGCTATTTGTTTGTCGTGGGTTTTTTAAGAACAAAATTGTGTGTGTATGTGAGTAATTATAGTTAGGTTGGTATCTAAAGGTCAGGCTAGAAGAGTACGCAAACACCACCCGTATGTTCATAGTCACACCACTCTCGTTTGAACAGCCGTCCTCCTGTTCCAGCGCAATTATTCCGGTGAGTCCAAACCAAAGGGAAGAAGCACTGTACTCGAGTTTCGCTCTTATTAGGGCTCATCAGTAGTGCATATTCAATGGCCATGTCAGGATTTGAACCCCAGGCATCTGACATGCGAGGCGAGCGTGTAATCACTACTCCACCAACGCACGTTGGATGCATCCGAACTTTCACGTCTGAACAGGCGAACGTGTTCACCCTTGAGTGATGTGATTGGTGCGCCCGACTCATCGAACGGTGACCCAGTAAATG